TTGCGTCCACAACGCCAGCACTTATTATTCGTTTTAATCCATGTCACCTTCTGTTCTTTGCTCAGGATCTTAGTTAGAACAGTTGTTCAGGAAGTGCTTGTCATTGTCACAATAGGGACAGTAGGCTGTGACCTTCTCTATTCCCCTTGACTTGCTGACAGGTCCAGGTGCAGGTGGTGCTGCTACACTACTTGATCCAGAGACCTTCTCAGTACCCAGGAGGATAGTAGTAGTCTTACTTGAAGGTTTAGGAGTGCGCTTTGTGTCAGGCTTCTTGTTAAATGACTCCTCTCTCTTGGGGGGCTTCATGCTGTCTTCCTGAACTTCTAGCTCGTATTCTAGCCAATCAGCAAAGTCAACGAGKGTAGGAATGACTACTCTGAGAGGGTGGATGAATCTTTTAAAACTGGCATTGAGGTCATAGGGGAGTTTACTTAACAGCCTTGAAACATGAGAGCCGCAGACTAACTCGACTTGGCCGCTTTGCCCCAGTTGTTCCAACATGCCTACTAGTGACCGGACATTGAGGGCAAACAGGCGAAAGCTCTTAACATCACCASTGCRTATATTCGGACCGTCCATTAAYTCTGCAATCCGTTGCACTGCAAGCTTGTGGGGCTGTCCATACATCTTCGTGAGAGCCATCATTGTATCAGTGTAAGGTTGCCTTGAGTTACAGTAGGAGTCTGCTACAAGTGAAGCTTCTTCACACTGAAGGTGATCAGTGAGGATCTGGTACTTGTATCTTTCAGTAGCATCACCTGGTAATAGATTCTCTAAGGCAATCTTCATGCGTGCAAATTCTCTGGGGTCTGGTGATGTAAATCTGGGGATGGTGGGCTTTGGCCCCCTGTRTGTGGTCTCTCTCTGTGGTTCATTAAAGCTGAGAACTTGGACAAATGAAGAATCTCTGTGTGAATAGGAAGAGGCACTCTGCTGCGGTGTAGCTGTGTAGTACGGGTTATAAGGCAGACCACTGGATATTTGGGAAACTCTGGGTTGAGTGAAATCTGATGGCAGGTTTCTTCGGGAGCTGAATGTTGGATAGCGTAGTTGCTGGTGTGCTGGAGAATAGGTAAGGGGTTGGTAATGTTCATAACCACCACTGTAAACACTTTGAGGTGGAGGAGGTGGGAATAGAGGCTGGTGGGCTGCTGGTTGGGACTGTATAGCAACTATCAGGCTCTGGAACTGTTTACGAAGCTCAGCATTTTCTTGGCACATCTCTTCAAGAGCAACACAAAACTCAGGAACTTGGTTGGTCTGCTGCTCCCCGGTGACTTGCTCCATAGATTGACGA